TGATTCTGATTCTGATTCTGAAAGGACTGGTGTGCCTAAGCACAGCCTCACAGCGTAACTGTAGACTCTCACTGTTTCATAGTCTTGTTGTTTATGGATGTGTGTGAGAGTGTTTTTAGTGACACACATGTTAGCACGCCTGAAGTCTGTTTGTTTGAGTGCAGAATAGTGCATGCAGTGTTCTGTTGAATTATTAAACTGATTGATTTCTTCCTTTCTTCCTTTTAATGTGACATTTTTAGCTGTGCCTTAGACTTTTCATAATAGCCCTTGAATGTGTACTCATCATTTTACCTGTGGAAATACACTCGCCCGGTGGAATAGGAAGGTCATTGAGCCGCTTGCCCTTCATGTCACTGGGGCCGGCACAGAAGACATCTGATACAGTGGCATTTGTGTTTTTCAGCCACGTCATCAGCCATTTGTTCTCACAATTGCACTGGAAAGAGTTGCCTCGCAGATCCCTGTACAACAGAGGGATAAGAGGCAATGTGTTTATATTAATAAGATTGAGAAGGTTGAGATGCCAAAAAAAGCTTGGGACAGTGCAGTGAAGTCATTGAAGGTGTTCCTGTATGTGACAAAACAAAGTCAAATTTAAACGTATACCTCCTACATGATAGTCAAAATACATTATGATGATTCCAATATTAATGTTAAAGAGGATCTAATCTGCTACAAGATAAAGATCATACAAATGTTAACTGTACAGGAACAAGAAAAAACAGTAATTGATTTAGTTTAATGAAGTATTTCATATTTTTATTTCAGAATTTCTTAGCCAACACTTGGTGACTGTTTGATAAATACCTGAATAATTTCAGCTGGAAAGATTGTTCTTATGATTGTTCTTGAATCTGCACTTTTGCATTGTTATAAGAACAATTTGGGAATAAAATGAATTTAAATTGTCAAGAAAAACAACTTTAGCTATGTATGAAAGTCACTCTAAACCTGTGATACACTACAAAGAAGGACAGAGACAAAAACTTAATATCAGTATCCATATCATACATAGGGGGTTTAATGCTGCCAAACACAAAACATTGCCTGAGTCAGCTTCACTTAGGAACACAGTGTGGAAAAAGACAACACACACACACACACACACACACACAAACACACACTGCTGACACCACATCTGCTTACTCACAGTTCCAGTAACGAATCCAAGTCATAAAAGAGATCTCTTGGCAGAAACCTCATCTTGTTATTGGCAAGTGATCTAAACCAGAGACACAGACAGACCAAATAAAAATGCACATTTATTGACATTGTCTGTTTTTTAGGTGTAACATCAGTCTTTCTCTGTAGTAATAAGGTTTTGGTGCTGCAAATGCTGCATGGATGGTAGAGAGAATGACAGCAGACTTACAGATGAGTCAAATCTCGCAGGCCACGAAGGGCATTTTTGGTGATCGTTTCAATCTTGTTCCCTTCAATGAATCTGTTCAGTGAGTAATAAAAAAGTAAAAAAATATGAGTAAATTAAATAATGTAATACATAAGGTCATATAATATTTCATGTAAGATAGGTTTTTGTCTGTGTAAATCTGTAGATGTTGTTTCTTGCCCATCGATGGGGCTGAGGAGGGTAACTTATTGGGTTTTAAACGGTGGGGATGAAGCAGGAGAAAGGATCAGCAGTTGCATTTACAGCATTTTATACAGTCCTTTAACACTGTTATTAACAATTAGGTTAAAAACAGTTACCATGAATATGCAACGTGATCTTATGTGGTATATTCAACTTGTTCAACATTCAACTTGATCTAATTGTGAATATACTTATGCAAAAAAATTAAAATAAAATCACAAAAAAAACCCCAACAAATATTAACATGTTATTGCAAGTTTGTCGAGTAATACTCACAAATATTCTAGATGTGGAAGGCCCGAGAAAGCATCATCTTTAATCGTGCTCAAAGAATTTGCATTTAGAAGTCTGTGAAGGAAAAGCAAACCCTGACAACTGAGTAAACTGGAAATTAAAATGTCTCCCATTACATTGATAGACAGAAGAAAGTCTGTATTCTACTTTTCTGTTTGTGTGTAAACTAAGCCCTGAAATCTCAATTACTTATCACAAATCAATGATAGTCTCCCTTGACAAAATTGCACTTACAACAGCTGAAGAGAAGGCATGAGTGCAAACATCCCTTCTGTAATTTCAGAAATAGATCCATTTACCATGCTCCTGTTGGAAGAAACACACATAAATCAAAGTGTAACTCGGATGTTAACACTCTGTACCAGACACATCAAGTGCCAACTCTGCAGGGGAGCATAGGGCAGCAAGTAAAATGCCTCCTTGAACGCAACATTGATTGCCTTGTTCTTTACTGAAGAAAAAATCCACTTTATCAAAAGAAATACAATTAGTTACTCACAGTGAGTTGATCTCATTCGGTATAGTCCGTGGGATCTGTGAGGGACCGACGCAGATGATCGTCTCCTTGGAGCAGGAGCATCCTGAAGGACATCTGAAAATCCTTTTAGATTCAACTGCTCCATAAATATACAGAAGCGCAAAAACGGCCAGTAGCCACTGCTTAGTGGATGTCATGTTGCCTCTTGAGCATCAATAACAGTAAATGAGCCCGCTGTCGGTGCTGGCAGCAGCTTTTACCCGCCTGGGCGACATCAAAATGCAGCACTATAGTGGAAAACCCTGACACAGGCTGATACGGCTGCAGCTGCGTCCCGGAAGGCTGCTTCAGTTTCGGACGGTGGGGAAAAAAAACAAAAACATCGACTCAGTCAGTAATTACAATGGCAATTTGTTTGGAATAAAAACTCTAAAAAAATGAATATGTGTATTTAATAATTGAATTAATGCCACAAAACGTATTTTTTTTAAGTGACATTCGAGGTGGGGAAATCAATACAACACCAAAATGATTCTTAAAAACACTATTCAGCACCATGGAGAGCGTTAACAATGTTTAAGTACACGTGCAGACCTGATCACGTGACACGTTCTGCATGCCAGAGCACTTAACTTGTCCCATAAAGAAGAAAATGCATTAACAAGTAACACGGTAACCCCATAGCTAGTCAGACTGTAGGCCACAGATCACATCACCAGTGTTCTTTCTAATGCACTCACTAAAAACATCAGATATTTGCCCTTAGGTTGCAGTTACCAGCTCAGTTTAAATGGGATAGATGCATCTATCCCGTTTGAATCTGATGCATTCATCTTCGAGAAAACAACAGAGAGGTCATCTGTCTGTTTTAAGAGCTCTACAGTGGACAGACTGCAGCCCTGCGCAGACAGTGAGTCTATGTGTGCTGTTGCGTGAGTATACCATTAGAGGGCAGCTACTGATAACCAAACAAATAATCTGTTGTCTTTTGTGGTTTTCAAGTTTATTTCTGATCACATTTCTGACAGCTGGAAGATTAAGGTTGTGTGTCAGGTTTTCATGTGGTTATCGCATCAGTTTATTCAGATGGTATAAAGTTTGTAGAAAAATGCAATCTCATGCATTGATCTTCAGTCTTGTGTATGCCTCAGGTTGGAAGTTGTAGATATTCAAATCCTACACTTTAAAATACAGGATTTGAGAGAAATAGACCATCCTAAAAAAGGCCTGATAATGCTCCTTTTATTACTTTCTGTATGGTAGAGTCATCACTGTCTGTCTCTTTCTCTTTTATACACACATATACTCTCTCTTCTCTAATTAAACAGAATATATGTGCTATATATGTGCTATAATGTGTAATAAAATCAGAATATAACTGAGGACTATATGTAAACACGTTTCTTCAGTGCAAGTGTAACTGAAGTAAAAATGGCAAAAAAAAATACAAGAAGAACACATTTTTCTTTCTCAGTTCCATTCTAAGTTTATTTTCTTAATTGTTTTCATTTTTAGTAGTGGCACTATTACAACTAAATGCATAATAAACTGGGGATTATAAACCAAACAGTTACTTTCTTAATGTAGTAAATTGATGTCAATAAAGTGTAGAAATTATAAAAATATAAATAATGTTGTGTTTTATTTGTTTTTTCAAATAACATATATTATTTTAATTTGGCTTTTATATTCTTTTCCACATATACACATGAGCAACTTGGGTTTTAGTTTCTAACCTAAAATTATCACTAAGTTAACCTTAATGCTTTCGTCTATTAAGTAATTTAATCTATATTAAACTGGCTGCAGTTTCCTGTCTGCTACATTATAATCACAGTTACACTTTATTTTAACTAATTCTTTGTATTTGCTGTTCACGAGTATGACCCTAAAGCTGGAATATAAATATGTCCTGTCATTGCTTTATATGCCACATGGTACCATTACTCATAGAAAGAAGTATTTACTAAACAATAGTTGTTAGTTGTCGCAGCAGGTCCTAACAAGGTGCTGACCTTTGCTGGAGGACCAGTAGTTTATGAGCACCAGTGAAACCAAATACCCATTGCCAGAAGGGAGCAACCGTACATGTCTGCCATTGCGGGCATATTTTATGACAGCTCTGCATCTAGCATTGCTGTTTTTAGGCTAGAGTATCCCTGAAACACTCGGGACACGTGCAAGCTGAAACCAGATGACGCCAGAGCAAACATCTCTTTGCTATTTCTTTCTAGACAAACATCAAGACTTTATTAAGGAACTGGAAACACCCACGTAGAAAAGTGTTTTTTTAACATTTAGTCTCTGTAAAATAAACAACTTAGGCCCAGTCATTTGTCTTTCATGAACAGGATGATGTTACTCATGACTAATGACTACATTTTGCTCATGTTTTGGATGTTTTTACCACTTTATGGACACAATACAATTAACTTATTTCCCTTTGGTTACTTACAAATTAAACAGCAACACCTTACAATGGTGGACTACTACTTTAAAACTACTAATCAGAAACACTACACTAATCCTGAAGAGTATGTTTCTGAACACAAACACAAACAGTCTATAAAATAAGTTGATTCTGCTATCCAATACTTATTATTACTGTTCTTTTACCATTAAGTCTTTTAGTACAACAGCAATAATCAGACTTAATTGTAATGACAGTAATATAAACCTAATGGTATTATTACAGTACACAGCATGGTAATATTTATATGTATTTAATATTAATAATAAGTACATTTGTGCACTAATAAGGCACCAATAAGGGTCTATAGGTTGTAACAATTAAAAACCTAATAGTTCATACATAATTTATTAATTATTGATTTATAAAATATTAATTTGAACAACATGGTAAAAAAAAACTATTTTTGGTAATTATGTAATATAAATGTTAAAAATTGTAATATTGACAAATTTTGTATTTTCCAATAATAAATATTAATACATTTAAGCTAATTTTAGGACTTTAATTTTAAGCACACAGCAGATCTTTTTTCCCTTCTGATAACCAAAAACATATTAATGATGCTGAAGGGCGATAAACACCTAACCTAACCCTAACCCCAAAGTTGTGGATAATAGTTTATTAATGACCTATAAATAATTTGTAAATTATTTATTATATTAAGAACCCACCTGTTAGAACTTCTAAACCATCTATAAAGGGCACCTGGTTAAAATGTATTCAATTATGTGATCTGTACTAATTCAAAGACAACCGTTTGCACTTTTGAAAGTCGGAATAAACACAATCGAAGGGTGTAAAGACAGAAGGTGGTGTATACTGCACAGATTATAAAACCATTTGAGGCAAATGTCTTATTCATTTTGGGCTATTTAAATAAATGGAATAATAAACTTAATCATAAATAAACTTTCCTTAACATGAAACAATATGGCAAATTATTCTATATGAATGTGTTGCTTCTTTAAATGTGTGATATTCATAATATACAGTACTGAACCCTTCACCACCAGCAGGTTAGTTAAAAGTGACCTAAATACTCACAGTGATCATTTATCCGCCTCAAGTAAATTGTCATTATCAGTGGTTTAGGGTAACACTCTAATCCCTTACATCCCCTGAACTACCTCACATATGACATGTTCAAATCAGAAGATGAACTTTTACCCTTTGAACTATGAAACCCTTGAGGTTTAGGAGGGGGGGTAACCTGGAGAGGTGCGGTGTCTGCTTCACAGCAGGTGTTCAAGCTCTCAAACTTCTCCAGTTCCCACTCAGGAGCAGCAGAAGGCTCAGTAGTCGGTATCAGACTACTGGGTCTGATGCTACAGGAAACGCAAACATAGCATACTGAAAATATGCATATATTGAACAAGTGTTCACAGTATATCACAAAGAACAATCCAAATTTAGTTATTTCCCATCATTTTAATAAAGTAAAATTTTGACTTATTAACCCCTTGACATACCAAAATTCTGCTTGATATTTTTGGTTTCTTTGCAAACTTTGGGATCTTTATTATTTTAGAATTATTATATTAGAATTAAAAATAATAAGTAAGTATTTGGCTGCACAGCATGAGTTTTCAAAGTACTCTTTGTTCAATATTTTAAGTACATCAATTTCATGCCACTTATACTTCTACTCCACTACATGTCAGAAGCAAATAATATTCTTTATATACCACTTTTTTAGGGGCTATTCTGACTAATTAACTTGTGATTTTATATTTTACATTAAAACAATACTATCATATTGGAAAATAGGATACACTGTTATAGAATAAACTCAGTCTGTAAGATTAGTTCCAGTATGTTACAAATTAGCTCAACTTCAACCAACTACAACAGTAAAACCATGCAGTCAGTGCATCATAACTTTATTACAATTACTTTATTATAATATATAACATTTTACATCTTATACTATCAGTACATGTTGCTGAAAATAAATAACATTCTGATTTCAGGGCTTTCACTTGTAATGGAGAATTTAATATGTGCTATGACTAATTTTACTTAAATAAAAGAATACTTACCAGTAATTAAATACAAAAAAATTATGCTACCACTTAAACATTAACATTATCTTAATTACAACTGTAATTATACAAAATAAAAAATAATTGCTTTGTTAGAATGATGTTATTCAATGGTAGAGATCCCTATACAGACTGGCATTAACTCCTAATGGAATATTTTATTAATAAATAATGATGTAATAGAAATGGTATATTTACAGGATAATGTATT